CAGGGCTCGTGGGTGGTTTGGTCTTTGATCTCCTTGCTCCAGGGGCATCATTCCCACAGAACATTTAGGAGTATGCATGGATTTTTTAAGGAAAAAAAAATGGCTTAACAGCTTAGCAACTGTCCTTCAAAACAATCATTCATGTATTTACATAAGACTTATTAAGGGCACATCAACACATCTCCTTAACTTGAGCTTGAAGATGCTGTGCTAACTGTTGCTTAAGGTCCTTCCTCTCATCCTCAACCCACAATCAAGGCTACCTGGCTTTGACGTTTTCTGATCTAGTGTGGAAGTGGTGTTTTCCATCCACACCCAACAAAACCTTGATATATATATGATGTGTGGGGGTTTGATAGCAGCTGTGATGATGACATGGCATGGGCTGGGCTGGGTTCTACATATATTGGCAAGTTGCACAGCAGAGATTGGCATAGATTTGGAGCATTTATTTTCCTACCTGGTTTGACATGTGTACAAACAATGCCCTTGTGGTGCCCTTATTTACAGGCAGGTTGTTAAGCTCTTCAGTTGGCATCAGCCCACAGAACCTTCCTATCAGCCCCTACCCATCGCTTGGATCATCTGAAGCACCTGCTCCATGTGGGTGATGAATCATATCTACTCAACAGTCTTAACCCTGTAGATCAAGCACTGTAGGTGATTTGTGTTGAGTAGGGGGCTTCCTGGTAAAGCAAGCCTCTCCTTCTTTATCTGGACCCCACCCTCACCCCTGTGCTTGATCTCAGTAAAGCTGGAAAGGTAGAAAAGTACCCTCTCTCACACAGATGAAGTCCTGACAGAGGACTAAACCCACCACCCTGTCCATCTTTCAAAATTCACCTCCTTCTCAGCCTCTCCCTCATGTCCACTCCATGATAAGGATAATGAGTGGTGGATGTCAGGAAATATACTAATCACTGTACCTTAATTTAATCCTTAGTAAACTGTTAGGAGAGCACCACTTTTTGGCCTCATCACCATGCCAAAATAAAGGTCAGCTATGGGAACAATTATGATGCTCTACTTTTGCCTCACAGACTGGGGGAAGCACATTAAATTGGCTGTCTGGATGTTCTATATATTAAGTAAGAAAATTAAGTGGGGACATTAGCTATTTATTTTCTTCCTGTTTTATAAGAAGTGGGAGTGGAATCTTTGTCCTTCTGAGTTCTGGACTACTTTGAGGCACAATTGATGGAATCACATTTCTTTGCAGGGGTGTCCATGGGGGAAGTGTTTAAAAATTCTAGGCAGCAGTTTAAATTGTGCAATCACAATCACCACCTTGACTTTTTTTGACAATTCTCTGGGGCCACCCCTGGGTTTTTTTTTTTTGTGCTCTCCTACAGCACATCAAGGTCAAAAGAAGCAGGGAGGACTGCAGGATGGCTTCAAGACACTTTTGAGGAGTTGGATTGCAGAAATGTGCCACCTGGCAATGTGGAAATGTCTTTATTTAAACTTATTATGGCTGCCCACGCCAAAAGACTCTGGGCAGCTTGCAATTTCCAAATATACAATTAAAACAGTTAAAAACATGAAACAAAATGTAGTGACCTGGACCAAAAGCAACCGTGACAATAAAAAACATGACAGGGGCTCCATAGACACATTAACCCCAGATCTAGGAACAGTTGTAGCAGAAATCTCAAAGGATCCTTTGGCACTGTGAAGACTAACAAATTTATGATGGTTTTGGTTTCTGCAGCCTACAGCAGCTCCATTAAGTTATGCCATAATAAATCTGTTAGTCCTTATGGTATCTTTATTGTTTGTATTTTAAGCAGCAGGATGTCACTAAATTCAGGCCAGAAGGGCTGGAACATAAGTCTGGAACCTAGAAATCACTGATGCCTGCCCGTGTTTAGCTATGACAAAAAGCAAGATGGAAAAAATATGTTGGGTGTGATTGCCTGTTAAGTAAATATCCGGTTATGCAGCCAGCTACAGTACTTTGTAGTGGATGCCATTAGTGTAAACACTTAAGGAACAACCAAGAAGGTTGGCAACGGCTTTCAGTAATGTCATGTGCTCTTATCTTAGTGATCTAAGGAAAAGCATGACAATGACAGTGGAGACCAGCTATTGGGAAGGTAAATTCCATGGATTTGTCTACATTCAGCTGAAGCATTAGTCTGCTTCGTCGAAGTAGGCAGCAAAGGGAAGGGCTTGGTATTAGTCACTTGAGAGTAAATAAGAACCACCCAAGAACAATTCAAACAAGCATACAGCTCAGCTCATTCTGTATTTCAAGACCTTATGACTTCTCTCTTAGCCTCAAAGACAAGCTTCTAACTTTCTCATGCATCTCAGAAGGCTAATTCACACATGACAGCCATACAGACACCTGAGACTTCAGGAAGAGAAATGTGGGCTGGTGAGGTTGATTTGCAAATAGATGGCAGAGCAAATGGTTGGGATAAAATGCTCCTTCTCCATCTGTCACTCCTCCAGTCAAAAGTGATCCCTCCTAAACATCTTCTCTGAGAAAAAAAAAAGGAGGGGGGGCAAATATGAAAGGAGCCACCAGAAGACATTGCCCCAGAGCACTGTGGGAAATTAAAGCTACAGCTTACTGGTTGGCATACATCACCAGACCTAGAAGACATTAACAGTGGACTCTTACAAAGCTCTGGGACCCTGAAATCTGCAAAAACTAAACAAACAAGCAAAAATCCCATTTTCTGAAATTATTTCTGGCTTGTACTTCTCAGCATTAAATTCCTCCATAAACATTTTCCCTTTAAGATGTCTATAAAACAGGCAGGTTTCTCTTGTGTTGAGACCAGCCTCTGATGACTTCATGGACATGCCAATGTAGTTTTCTTGGCAGCAGGACAGAACAGGTTTGTCATTGGTTCTGCCAGGATGTTTTTTTGACTTCCCTGTCTAGAGTCAGACATTGTTAGTGTGGATGGCACACCACCAGAAAATCCCAGAACTGTAGGCTGGACTGGGAAATCAATAAAACCAAGAAATAAGAGGAGAGGGGGAGGGGCAAAACCAGTAGCAACCCCCTTCTTTATTACTGCCCCCGAAAATAGCATTGATGTGTCCAGAAGTTCAGCATGACTCAAAGGAGTCTTTACCTTTTAAACAAACTAACAACCAATATCTTTACATTAAAGATATATCAGTTAAATGTTAGCTTTATACCACTAAAGTGGTGCTAGAAATTACACAGAAATGTCACAGCTTCTCCTTGTCCCCTCTGTACTGTAACCTTATTATAGCTTACTTCACTTTTGCTAGGAGTTTTCTAACATACCAAGTTTAGCAAGGATCAAATATTTCTATTATTAGTAAAATTTCAGGTTGTGGCTAGATAGAAACTCCATACATTATAAGTTGGCTTGTTAAAACATGAGAAATTTGAGTTACGAAGTAGAAGTCAAAGGTGTACATAACCTGTTATTTGTGGATAGCTTTAAAGAAAAATGGAGATAGTTACATCTCTCTCTCTTTTGTGGGGGGCACTAGGAGAACACTTTCAGAAGTAAGGAGAAAATATGGACAGGAACAGGCTTCTTCTGGTCTTGGATTTTCTGCTACTGTTTATAACTTGAAATGGCAAGTGTGTGTGTGTGCGCGTGCGCACACCTTTGAATCAGTGTTGACTCTGGCAACTGCCTGGATTAGTCGCTGCAGTTTTCTTGGCAAGGATTTTTCAGAAGTGGTTTGCCATTGCATTCTTCCTAGGGCTGAGAGAGAGGGACTGGCCCAGGATCACCCAGCTGGCTTCATGCCTCACGGTCTCCCAGTTTCTTGCCCAGTGCCTTAACCACCACACCAAACTGGCTCTCAGGTTGGCAAGAAATGGCAAGACATACTGGTCATTGCCTGTTCTGCATTTTTGCTTGAAGAAAGCAGAACTCTAAAAAGCATCACAACAAATTACTTCTAAAAATTATCCCATCCTCCTCCAAGGGCTCCAGAGCAACATAATTTGCCAGTTCACTTAGTTCTCACAACAGCCCTATTACTTTGGTTGAACTTGACAGAAAGGGCTTCTGGTGAAGTAGGGATATGAACTGGGTTCTTCCCAGTCCTCACTGGGGACTGCTTGACCCACTGCTTCCCAGAGAGGCAGCCAAGTGTGAGGGCTGCCAATAGGAAGCTGGCTAGAGAAGCCCTGATTTTTCGAGCTCAACCACTGCGCAGTCTGATTTCTCCAGCCATTGCATATGAATCGGCTCCAAGTTGTAGGCTTTTGTTGGGAAGGAATAGCAGATACGCTAGCCATATTGGCAAGCCATGAAAATCATGGTCTGTTCTGCAACTTGAGAAGCTGGCGAAATTGCCGAGAAACACTCTTCTGGCACTGTTTGAGGTAAGAAAAAAAGGAAGGGAGAAAGGAGGAAAACAAACCAACCAAGTTGCAGTGTGTAGTTTTTATGCTCCAGTTGTGAAGTTCAGAAATAAGACTAAAATATACATATTTGATGAACTGGCAGAGATGCTAATAAATGCTATTTAAACATTGATGAATATTGAACATTAACTAATATATATTCAAAAAACGTGTACCTTGGGTGTGCTCGCAGAACGGAGCCTGGTTCTGTTTTGCTGCTGATCCCTCCTGGAGCTGTTCAGCCACAGGTGCTGCTCTGTGTAAAGGTCTCTCCCTGCAGATGCTTTGCTTTGCTTTTCCTTGAGCAATACTCAGAATGTGTAAACATTAGGTACAGCTACATGGATAGGGTGGAGTTTTCGACACTCAGCAGCTCTACTCAGCTATTTTTTTTTCTTCCTGGCCTCCAGGGCAATTCAAGCCTGTTTGGTTACAAGTAACTTTCCACCACTAATAGTGCCTGCAGGATCTGTAGGATCTTTTTTAAAAACCAGCAGCAATGAGCCTTGCAGCCAGTTATGTACTTCTGGTACCCATACAAAAAGCAGCAGTGTAATCCTAAGTGTGTTTATGCAGAAAGAAGTCTCATTACATTTAATGGGAGTTACCTAGGGAATATAGGATTGCAAGAATGTGGCATATCCACATGAACAGGAACTGGAGCAGTTGATGACTTGCTGTGAGCAATTTGTATAACGTTTTGAAGAAAAAGTTGCTCTGGCTTGGATTCTGTTATCTCAGCAAGTGCTTGTCCTGTTCTTCTGAATTCTTTTCACTTTGTAGATCTGGTAGGTATGGGGAGATGGTATGGAGACATGAGGACTACTACTGTCTGCTTACTGGACCCTCGACCTTCACAGATGATTGGATCAGCCAGGATGGTGCTTAAGGGAAGTGATGCATGTCTCTGTAGGCAAGATGTGTTCCACCCTATCTAAAGGAGGCAGTTATAGGGCCTCTACCGGGGGATCCCTCCCTTGAGCTGGGAAATCTACCTTATTACATTTTGTTTCTGGAAAAAGTGATCAGTAAAGTAGTGATCTTGCAACTTCAGAGCTATCTGGATGATACTGAATATCTGAACCTACTTCAGTTGTGGTTTCAGCTAAGATATAGCACTGAAACGACTTTAGTTATACGTTGATTTATATCCATTGTTAGACACTAATTAGGAAATAGCATAACCCAGCTAGATCTCTTTCACTGGCCATGATATTGGGCACTGAAGATGCCATTCACATCCTTCCTTTAAGGTCATATTCAGTTAGCATCAGGAGGCTACACTTCAACATCTAGAAATGAAGCGCTCATGTCTGATAGGACGCTAAATTATCTTGCATGGGTCATCATCTATATGAAACTACAAGAAGAAATAATCTGGATTTTGGAGTGGGGTGACATCAGTATGCTGATGACATTCACTTCTACTGCTCCTTCCCATCCAACTCAAGGAACAACTGACATCCTTGTATGTTGAAGTTTGATAGCAGCATCAAAGAATGACTGGGAATAATTTCATCAGGGATCAGCACATCAGGGAAAGCAAGTTGAAAGAAAATTCAGCAGGATGGAGATGCTGTTTAAAGTACTTACACCAAACAGACTATGGAAAATGCCTTAGTTCCCAGCAGAAGATATCTATGTACACCTCCCTTGGAGCCACCAGCCCCTATCCTACTCTTTTAAAATGTTATTCTTTTTAAAAAAAGATTATTATAATTTTTATGAAATTTTAAAGGGACCTGGCATAAGGCAAGACAATATACTATCTCCAGAATCATCTTGAATTCTAGAAACACTGGTAAATTTCAAACATTCCCATAGTTATTCCTAATAGATAGTGTACAAAGTTTCCAGTGTACCTATCAGTCCCCAAAGGTTGGGAACTACTGCCTAAGAAAACTCTTCGACCTTCAGATTGGTTCATCCCGCTTCCAGATTTGTTTGAGATTTTTTTTAAAGTTCTCACTAAATAATTGTACTTAATATTATGCCTATTTCTTTTAACGTGCATTTTGTTCACCCTACTACCTAATACCAATATGCTTTGCAAGTAATTTCCTCTGATGTGAAACATCCTTTTAACTAATGCATACATTTTTGTGCAGATCAGTTCCCTATATTCTTTCAAAAATATTGTCAACCATGCTATAAAATTCCAAGAAGTGCATATTTTGATGGACCACTGAGTTTCACTTCCAATGCTGGTTGGAAAGGCAAAAATTGATTTTGCATTAATATACAAAAGAAATAACATTTCTCCTCCTGTCTGGCCAATAGTTGGCTGAATGACAAATCTTAGCATCCTTAATTGTTGGCTAAGCTAGAAATATTTGAAGGGCCACTGGCTCCCATCCCTGGTGTATATAGCAATGGAAGGAAGAAAATGAAGGTGGGGAGGGGAATGACTCTAGCAGACACCCACCTTTAAAGCAATGGTTGGCAGTGGCTAGTTCTCACTATAAGAACTACAACTCTTTCATACAACTCTTTACCTTGGGACAATAAATCAACTATCTCCAGCTAAATCAATTTACTTGTCCCACATTGGCCTCTTCCTTTGACCTATTTGTCACTAAATGTATTTATTTCAAGAATTTACACTTGCCCTCAAATTTTCATTTACAATATTATCAATAGTTAATAAAAGACATAAATCACAGTAAAAACAGTTCAGCTTCAATGCCATGAGATAACAAATCAATGTAATGCAGTGAAGGCAGCAGAAACAATTGGAGACAAAACTTTTATCCACACTAAATTGTCTTAGCACCTTGCCTGAAATTTAAGTGAAAATGGTTGTCCCTCTCTTCCACAGGAAGCTGCGGTGGCCCTTGGCATTTAGCCAGCTTATAGTTCCTACTAAGCAGAAGATTGGTCTAAGTGAACTTCAACATCCATTCCAACCCTATGACTGAATTACACAATGCATTCATTAGGATAAAGTAGGGTTGAGTGCTTTGTGGTTCAAAGGCTGCAGAAACCCAGTCACTGTGTGAACCAAGCCATCTCAGTAGACCATAATAGGGTTTATTTGGGTTTAGGACAGTGTTTCTCAATCTTGGCAGCTTTCAGATGTGTGGACTTCAACTCCCAGAATTCCCTAGCCACCCTTGGCAGCTGGGGAATTCTGGGAGTTGAAGTCCACATTTCTGAAAGCTGCCAAGGTTGAGAAACACTGGTTTAGTATGTTCTATGAACAAGGCAATTGCAGTTTGTTAATCAAATTTAGCAAGTTGTATGTACTCAACCAGTAAGTCTGTGATTCTCTCCTCATCAGCCTCCTTCTCCTGCTAGAAACAGTTGCACAACATTTTGAAGACATGTAGGCAATTTGAAAGCCTCAGTCTGGGGGAATCTGTTCAGAGACTGAATTTCCCAAAATCTGATACCTTTAACCCAATTCACAGCTTTGCTATTTAAGTCAGTTCCATCCATTCAATTTATCATAGGCCAACTTAAGGGATGATATGTTCATATCTATTCAAGAGATCAATCAGGTTTGAAATGTCTAAAAGAATACATAATGCTCACAGCATATTTATATAAAAAAAGTTACTAGTAGAACCCATGATAAATGAATGAAGGGGATCAGAGTTCTCATGTACAGCTCTTTTATTCATTTATCAAAGAATCCATCACATGAAATTCTTGTTTTTGTTTTTATTTTGACAATCTATGACTTGAAAGTGAGTCAGAAGTACCAGGGAAGATCATGGATTCTTGACCCAGTTTACACAAATGACAGTGTAAACAAGATTGCTCCATGCCCATATCCTTAAAATATATTTTATTTCTTATTTCATAAAACACAACCAGTATGGCAACAAGGAATTTTGACATAAACTGTTTTGATCTCCCCGTTGGATGGAAATCACAGTTCCACATAAGATTGGACAACCTGTGTCTCCCCTAGACTGTATTAGAATCCAACTCTTTTTACTGACCCTGATTGCTGAAAACAGCAGTTTCCTGCTACTTTTACATGGGAACAGATGAGATTTGAGTATTAGTTCTACAATAGACATATCACAGTTAAAAACAAAGAAATATCCCAAACATCTCCTTACATTAGCCCTACACACGTGAAATACAGCACCATCCATATCTGCCTCCCAAAAAAAGGTTGAGTATAATCCTTAGTTTAAAGACTGCCCTTTCTGCCATAGAGGAATCATTGAATGACCTCCATGACTGGAGAAGGCGTGTAATGGAAATACCCTGGAATGATTTGACTGTGCTTTCACCAGCTCTTTCTACAATAATGATTTACAGTGCTCGATGGTATTATCTGCCCAATACTGTGATAATATATCGTAATGAGACAAGTTAGATGACATTATAAGATGCTATAAATCACTAGTATTCGAAATGACCACCATGATGATTATAAGTAGATTCACACAAGTATCAGATGCTCGGTGAGGTGCATTAGCATTATATTATCATTGGAATGATCACTGACACTTTGTTGTTCAAAGTTTTTTCCAGTGATAATTCAGTATTAATCCAGTTTAATTACTGTAACAAAGCCATGCAGTGTTTTTCATCTGAAGGATTTCTGTCAGTCTAAATTTTATGGATTCTTCCCCCCTCCCCCCACATGTTCACTTTTTCCATTGTACTGTCTATTTAATATTTTGACATACCTATGATGTATCCATTTCTTCTACAGTTGCCCGTTCTCCTCACATTTAACTTGGTTAAAGATATAGAACAGGAAAAAAATCATGATCTGCAGCACATAAATTGTACACTCTGTGCTCTAGGGTATTTCATTGTTCATGTATGCCAAATGATAACTCACTTAATCAGTGAGTTATTAATGTGTTCTTATATTTCCTCTGCAAATGTTGGAATAGGTCTTCTTTGGACTGTAAACAGTAGCCTTGAGTTTTACTTCTGCTAATTTCATGGTCCGATCCATGTAGTTTTCTTGTCAACATTGAAATGGGTTCACATTGCCTTCTTCCGGGTAACATTTTAATTTCCCAGCTTGGCCTCCAGCCCTGCCATCTCCTGGTAGCTTCCCATCCATGCACTAACCATGTCTGATCTTCAGCTACATACTGCAGCCTAGCAAGAACATGTGAGTAATCAGAATGAGGAGGAGGGAGTAGCAAGAAAGCAAGCTCCCTCCCCTTCATCTCTTGTCCTCACCCACCCTATCCCCTCAGGATCCAACACCACTGTTTCTATAACACTCACATGAGCACAGTTAGAAGTCTCCTTGTGATTTCAAACTGCTTTTCTCAGCATCTGCAATCAGCATCAGATATGCTCAGGCACGGCTTCC